TTTTTTTTTTTTTTTTTTTTTTTTTTGTTTTGTTTTTCTGTTTGGGTTTATTTCCTTTTATTTATTCTTAGCTGAAGAGGAGACAAAAGGAGACAGAAGGAGACAGATAAAAATAGAGAGAGAGAGAGACAGAAGGAGACAGAGAAAGATAGAGAAAGAGACAGAGAGAGAGACAGAAAGAGAGAGAGACAGAGAAAGATAGAGAGAGAGAAAGAGAGAAAAGGAGACAGAGAAAGATAGAGAGACAGAGACAGAAAGAGGCACAGAAATATAGAGAGAGAGAGACAGAAAGAGAGACAAAAGGAGACAGATAAAGATAGAGAGAAACAGAAGAAAAGAGAAAAATAAGAAGAAACAAAAGGAGACAAAGAAAACAAAACCCAAATAAAAAATAATTATTTTAATAAAAAAAATAATTATTTTGTCTTTGTCTTTGTCTTTGTCTTTGCTGCAGGAAGATGTTGCTGCTCTCCTCTTCTGGCTGCTTCCCTTTAATATACAAATTTTTGTTTTTATGCTGCAGCAGGTTAATACAATAAATTAATTAAATAAATTAAATAAATTAAATAAATTAAATAAATTAAATAAATTAAATAAATTAAATAAATTAAATTAATTAAATAAATTAAATTAATTAAATAAATTAAATAAATTAAATAAATTAAATAAATTAAATAAATTAAATAAATTAAATAAATTAAATAATAAAACAAATAAATTATTTAATTTGTTTATTTTGTTTATTTTGTTTAATTTATTTTATTTAAATTAATTAAATAAATAAAAAAGAGAAAAAAAGGAGACAAAAGGAAACTAAATGGTGTTGTTTCTTTTTATTTATATTGTTCTTCTTTGTCTCCTCCTTTATTGTTTATTATTTTTATTATTATTTGTTGTTATTATTATTTATTTGTTTCTTTATTTTTATTGTTTTTTTTATTGTTTATTTTTTTTATTATTTCTTTATTTGTTTATTGTTTGTTTGTTTGTCTCCGTTTTTCTTTATTATAATAATATATTTATTGTTTATTATTTTTATTGTTTTTATTTTTTATTAATATTTATTATTTTTTATTGTTTATTATAATAATATATTTATTTATTTTATTTATTTTTTTTTCTTTGTTTATTTTTTTTTTTGTTTAGGGTGTTCCTTCTTCTGCCTTTCTCTCGTCTCCTCCTTATAATAAAATGAGAGACAGAGGTTTGTTTTTTTTCTCTTTCTTCCTCTATTTTATTTTTTTATTTTATTTTTTTTTTATTTTATTTTTTTTATTTTATTTTTATTTTCTTCTGTCTCCTCCTTTGCTGCTGTGTTTGCCTCCCCGTCTATCTGCATTTGTCTTTTTGTTTTTTTTGTTTTTATCTTTCTTTGTTTTTCTTTTTTGTCTGTTTAATTTTTATATTCTTTTTTGTTTGTTTGTGTTTACCTTTTTCTTTTTTATGTATATATTTAGGGTTTTAGGTGTTTGTTGAATTGTCTCTTGTATTTTTTGTTTTATTTTTTTTTTGTTAGTTGTTTATTTATTATTATATTTATTTATTTTTTCTTTTTCTTTTTTTTTATTTGCTTCAGTTTTTGTTTTCCCTGTCAGCAGCAGCACGCTGCTGCATGCAGCCCTGAAAGTAACGGGGGGTGCAGGCCTCAGCCATTTGCTGCTGCTGCCTGCTGCTGCTGAGGTGCTGCAGCAGCAGCTGCAGCAGCAGCAGCAGCAGCAGCAGCGCCATCACCCGCGGGAGATGCAGCATCAGATGCAAGACAATCAACAGCAGCAGCAGCAGCAACCCCTCTCCTTCCCCCCGACAACTACTCCCTTCACCAGCAGCAGCAGCAGCAGCAGCAGCAGCAGCGGTTGCCGCAGCCTGATGAGTTTGCTGCTGCTGTGTCTTAGCCCTGGGGGCTGTTTAATATGCAGCAGCAGCGTGGAGAGTGTAGACGAAGAAGAAATAAAAATAATGTTAAATAAATCTGCTTCTCTTTCTCTTTATGCTGCTGATGCTGCAGCAAGCACCATGGCGGGGGCTCACCTACGTATGCAAACCCTAAACCCTAAACCCTAAACCCTAAACCCTAAACCCTAGAATAAAACGAAACAAAAAAAGAAAACATATAAACACAAACAAATAAATTAAATAAATACATAATGCTATCACAATACAAACAAGTCGAACTGCATGCATGCATGCATGCACATGCATGCATGCATGCGTCTGTGTAAGTATTATTTATGTGTGTATTATCATATGAGTTTTGTTTTATATTTGTTTATTTGCTGCAGACTTTATTGTAGAGACACTAAAGGCGCTGCAGCAATACCCAGACAGCAGCAGCAGCAGCAGCAGCAGCAGCAGCAGAAATATATTTTTGTATGATAGCGATGTGAGGAGAAATAAAGCAAAAAGATAAACCCTAAAATATAACAAATATAATATCATGATGATGCTGTTGCTGCTGCCGTTGCTGCTGCTGCGGCTGCTGCTCTCGTTGCTTTTGTTGTTGCTGTTGCTGCTTTTGTTGCTGCTGCATGCGCCTATGTTTTTGTTTTTTTCTACGGTGTATGTACACCTCAAATTGCGGGTTGTGCTGCGGTGTATGTGCAGAACTCACAGGCAGTAAAAGAAATAGAAAATGCAGCAGCAGCAGCAGCAACAGCAGCAGCAGCAGCAGCATTTTATACTCCTGTTTGTCTCTGTCTACCACCAGCAGGTCTCCCGTCTCAGCGAGCTTGATGGGGTGTACGTACACCTCATTGCAGCAAATATATTCTTAAAGAAAAAAACAAAATTTTGTTATTTTGTTTTATTTCGTTTCGTGCTGCCTCTTTTTGTCTTTCAGTTCATAGCGAGGGTTTTTGGTGAGGGGTTGGGGGGCAGCAGAAGGGTTTAGGGTTTGTTTAGGGTTTAGGGTTTGTCTAGGGTCTAGGGTTTAGGGTTTAGGGTTTAGGCTTCGCTGGCAACACTGGCCTTTGTATTAGTTTTCTCCTCTCTGTGGAGACTCTGTGCGTCCTTTGCTATCTGTATAGAAAAACAGAAAAAGTAAAAAACAAAAACAACAAATAAAAAAGACAAGCAGCATCAACTGCAGCAGCAGCAATAGCAGCAGCAGCAGCAGCAACAGCAGTACAGAAAAACACCACACACGGATAGCGACTGCATGCAACCTATTTCAGTTGTTTGCATTCTTTGCTGCGGACTTTTCTATACAATATATACAGTATATGCATCCACTATATGTA